TTTTTTTGGCCTCATTCTTTTAAAAATTCAGCAAATACAGCTGAACATTATTAAACCTACCAATGCCTGTATCATATAAAGGCAAAATCTCTTGAAAGGTAAAAGGTTGGGCGGCTAATTGTGTTACTTTAAAAACAGGCAAAGTGTGGGCTGGGGATTTAGCTCAATGGTTCTGACGCCTGCCTCACAAGTGCAAGGGCCTGAGTTTGATCACCAGTACAAAACAAACAAACAAACAAACAAACAAACAAAGAACCCCACCAAATAAAAAATTGACAACTTGTTCAACTAAAATTCACTGAATAAGACTGAAAAGGGCAGGGGATTTAGCTCAGCGGTTCGGTGGCCTGCCTCGCAAGCACAAGGACCCAAGATCGATCCCCGGTACCAAAAAAAAAAAGACTGAAAAAAAGTCAAATATGTCCTTGAATATTTTGGGGGGGTTTGAGACAGGGAGGGACTCACTACATAGTTAGGACTGATCTAGAACTCACTATGTAGCCCAAGCTGGTCTCAAATTCAGTGATGCTCCCGAATGCTGGGATTACAGGCATGTGTCACCACGCCTGGTTTTGTCTTTGAATTATTTTATTATTGAAAATGCTGAAAAATGAGCTAGAGTGGCGGCACACAACCAGCCTTTGGAAGGCTGAGGCAGAAGGAGTACTGAGAGTTCAAGGCCAGAATGAACTACATAGCAAGAACCTGTCTCACAAATTAAAACAAAATAAAATGCTGAAAAATACACTGGGGATACAGCTCAGTGGTAGAATACACACTTAACATATGTAAGTCTCTGGGTTCAATCCCTAGCAGCAAGAAATTGATAATAACAATAAATCATTAAAATGTTCAAAAATAACTCTATAGAAATGAAAAAGAAATCTACTTCCAACAGACATTAATTTATATCATAAATCAAAATGTTATGTAACACTCAAGTTCCATCAAATATGTAAACTTCAAACATAAAACATTCCATTTTGCTCACAGAACAGTGTATCAGAAAAACCAAACAGAATACAGAGGGTCAACAAGAAGATCATACACCCTGACTAAGTTAGATCTATCCCAGGGATGCAAGGATGGTTCAACACACATAAATCAATAAATGTAATACACTATATTAACAGAGTCAAGGACAAAAACCATATGATCATCTCAACAGATGGTGAAAAAGGATTAAAAAAACTTCAACATTCATTCATGATAAAAACCATGCAGAAAATTGGAATAGATGGTCTTTATCTCAACTTGATAAAGTCCATCTATGAAAAAGCCAACAGCCAACGTATACTCAATGGTCAAAAACTGAAAACCTTCAGGCTAAAATCAGGAACAAGAAAGAGATGCCCACTATCACCACTCCTGTTCAATATAGTTCTGGAAACATTAGGCACAGCAATTGGACAAGAGAAAGAAATAAAAGCAATAAAGACAGTAAAGGAAGAATTTAAACTGTCATTTGCTGATGATATGATACTCTACATAGAAGACCCAAAGAACTCTGCCAAAAGACTTCTAGACTTAATTGACAAATTCAGTGAAGTAGCTGGATACAAGGTAAATACTCAAAAATCAATAGCTTTCTTGTACACAAAAAATAGACTCTGACAGAGAAATTAGGGAAACAATCCTTTTCACAACATCCAAAAGAAAAGAAATATTTAGAGATCAATCTAACAAAGGAAACAAAAGACCTCTACATTGAGAACTACAACACTATGAAAAAAGAGATTAAAGAGGATATAAGAAAAAGGAAAGACATCCCTTGCTCCTGGGTAGGAAGAATCAATATAGTGAAAATGGCCATACTTCCAAAACTGCTATACAGATTCAATGCAATCCCTATTAAAATCCCAACAGAGTATTTCAGAGAACTAGAGAAAACAATCCAAAAATTCATTTGGAGAAGAGACCTAGAATAGCAAAAGCAATTCTAGGCAACAGAGACAAGGCAGGGGTATCACAATCACCAACCTGAAACTATACTACAAACTACTATGCTAAAAACAGCGTGGTACTAGGAAAGAAATAGATCTGAGGATCAGTGGAACATATTAGAAGATGTAGAAACAACTCCTGACATACTTAGCTACCTCATCTTTGACAAAGGAGCTAAACACCCTCACTGGAGGAAAGATAGCCTCTTTACTAAATGGTGTTGGAAAAACTGGATTTCAGTTTGTGAAAGATTAAAAATAGACCTGTATCGCCAGGCGTGGTGGCGCACGCCTGTAATCCCAGCACTTGGGAGGCTGAGGCAGGAGGATCGCCGTAAGTTTGAGACCAGCCTGGGCTACATAGTGAGTTCCAGGTCGGTCCCACTACATAAGTGAGACCCTGTCTCAAAAAAAAAAAACAACAAAAAAAAAAAAACAAAGAAACAAACAAAAAATAATAGACCTGTATCTTTCACCATGCACTAAACTAAAATCCAAGTAGATTAAAGATATAAGTATTAAAACAGAAACACTAAACTTGCTGGAAGATAAGCAAGGTAGAGCTCTTGAAGATACTGGCATAGGAAAAGACTTTATAAATAAATCTTCAGTAGCATGGGAACTAGCACAAAGAATCAACAATTGCGATCTCATCTTTTTAAAGTTTCTGCACTGCCAGAGAAATCACAAGCAGAGGTAAGAGACAACCCACAATGTGGGAAAAATTTTTACCAGCTGTTCCTCAGACAAAGGTCTACTATCTAGAATATATAAAGAACTCAAAAGAATCAGAACCCCCAAATATAAAGACCCAATTCAAAAATGGGCACCTGAAATGAACGGACACTTCTCAGACGAAGAAGTAAAAGCAGCAAGTAAATATATGAAACAATTTTCAACATCACTGTTCATTTGAGAGATGCAGATGAAAACAACACTGAGATCCCATCTCAACACAGTAAGAATGGCTGCTATCAAGAAATCAACCAATAACAAATGTTGGTGGGGTTGTGTGGGTTCTTCACTGTTGGTGGGAGCGCAGACTGGTGCAACCACTGTGGAAATCAATATGAAGGTACCTCAAACAATTAGGATTAAAGGTCCCATTTGACCCAGTTATTCCTTTGCTGGGTATCTTCCCAAAAGAATTAAAAGAATCATATCAGCAATATATGTACACCCATGTTTATAACAGCAGTTTGTAATAGCTAAAATTTTGAAACAGCCCAAATGCCCATCAACTGGAGACTAAAATTTTTATAAAATGGAGTACTACTCAGCCATAACTAATGAGAAACTAGAGACATTTATAGCTAAACAGATGCACAATGAGGCCATACTCTTAAGTGAAATTACTAAGTCACACATGTGTAAATACTGAAGTTTTTCTGCTGTGAAAAACTAAAAGTGTAAATAAGGATCAAAATGTATAACTGATATTGTGTAACAGGAAAAACAGGTCTAAAGGAGTAGAGGAAGTGGGACGGGTAGAGGAAAGCTACATAGGGAAAAGAAAACATACGTGAAAAAGAAAAACATGGAAACAATGTCTTTGTAAACAGGGAAGCGTGGAGGGGCTGAAGGGAGAGCTGAGGAATGGGGGTAATAAGAACCAAGATTAAGTCATGTAAAGGTACAAGATCCCAATGATGAGTGTAACTGTACTGTATGCCTAAAATGTACCAATAAACTTAATTAAAGATTAAAAAAAAAAAAGAAAGAAAAGAAAAACCATCATGATCAACAACAGCAGGTTAAATTACTCTGCTCATACTGTAAGCCAGTGGCTAAGCTAATTAGTTTGCATACACTGCATCACTTATTCTTTCTGATAACCCAACAGGTATTTCCATTACCATCTTGCATGTGATGCTATTGAAAGAACTTAGAAAAACCAACCTGCTTGCTCAAGACCATACAACTGGTAACAGAATTGAAATTCTAACTGAGGTCAAACTCTGGGAACCACATCCTGGCCTACTACACTAGACTTCAAAAATTTAAAGAACAGAGAAGAATGGTGTCCATGCACAGACAAGACAGATGTTTCACATCTGTTGCTGTCCCCAAGTATGACCTTGTTGTCACACAAGGACACATACAATAGTCTGGATTAGACACTGCGGACAAGACAGGGTCAGCATAGGACTTTAAAGCAATGGATGAGTATCAAAAAGGAAGTCTTGGGGAGAGGCACACTGAACTCAGGACCCTGCACTTGCAAGGCAGGCAGTGGCACCACTGAGCTAAATCTCTGGTCCAAAAAGGAAGTCTTTGAGAAGAAATCAATCAGGAAACTGCTGGACAATCTAGATTAGAATCCCTCCTCTAAACAAATCCCTCTGATCTAGGATTATAACGTTAGAAAGGGAAAATACTTCAAAATGATGAGAAATGATGAAAAGTGGAAACATGGAATAAAAAGAAAACAATTCAATGAAGCCCATTCAAGTTTTGCAGCACAGTGGGAGGGGTGGAAATCATAGGGCTACTAAAAGATTCAAGAATGTTCGGGCACACTAAATCAGCTTACCAGCCTGTCTAAATTCAGACCCTTGGAATTTGGGTGCCGTCCAATGGCCCAGAGCAGGCAGTCAACGTCCAAAATTGAGGTCAAGGTGGGTTTCCTACCAGGAATTGCAGTAACCACGCTGAGTTCCAAGCCCGTAGAAGTCTTTTTAACTTCCTTGACCTATTGACAAATAAAATTTGTTAAATGAGTGTGGTGGGGCAAAGGGAGAAGGAAGGGGGAAAGCAAATAAAAAGGAAAATAGAAATTTTAACATTAAAAACAAAAGAAAACTCTGCTGACATTTCCAGCTGATGAAGACATTCACTTTTATTCAAAAACCACAACACTAGAACTCCCAGGAGGAAGGCCCATTTTCCTGGGTGGTCTTTTCTTTGTGTGGTACTGAGGATTGGGCCCAGGGCCTTTACCCTTAGCCAATACCACCCCACTTTTCAAAAATCTTGTAAAAATAATGTGTGAAAAGGTGTCACTAAATTGCTAAGTTATCTGGGGCAGACTTAAATTTACCATCCTTCTGCCTCGGCCTTCCACAGTGCTGAGATTTTAGGCATGTGCCACCTTTCTGACTCCTGGGCTACCCTCTAAACTTTCAGCCAATGACCACAAATGTCAATTCACGTCACCATCGCAACGCTTCAGCTTTAACTTATAATGCACTTCCTTAAAACTGTGGTGATATTTAAGCAATAAATCTAACCACAGTGATTTGGAAGTTGGCCACAGCAGTATCACTAGGAAACTTCTCCAAACTGTATTGTCATTGATTCTCCCTAGACATTCTTAGTCAGAACAGGGGAAGGGAGTAATACTCTGGTCAGGAAGCCAAGCACACATAATCTATAAAATCTATAAAATCTGAAAAAGGTATGCCTTAAAAATAGATTACATGAGCCAGGCGTGGTGGCGCATGCCTATACTCTCAGCGCTCAGGAGGCTGAGGCAAAAGGATCACTGTGAGTTCGAGACCAGCCTGGGCTACACATTGAGCTCCGGGTCAGTCTCTACTACATAGGAGAGGCTGTCTCAGAAAAAAAAAAAAAAAAAAAAAAAAAATATTACACATTATTTTCTCAAAAATAAGGATGTGTGAAAAGGCATGTGAGTAGAAACATAAGTTTAGTTCTAAATTCAACTGCAAGGTTTCTTTTACATTTTAACTTCACTAATACATTTATATGAAATACAGCTGTTTTATTTTTGGTACCGGGTATCAAACTCTGGACAGTGCACTTATGAAGCAGGCGGTGGCACCGCTGAGCTAAATACCCGGCCCAGAAATATAGCTTCTTAAGGAAAAGAAGTAATTCACAGTTCCCTAGAAGTGGAAAAAACTGACTGAAATAAAGAGCTTGTGTTTATTTATAAACCTAAGTACGGGCTGGGTCTGAAGCTCAGTGGTACAGCATTTGCTTATCAGGCATGTAGCTCTGAGTTTGTTTCTCAGCACTGCAAAAAGCAAAACACAAGACAAACAAAAGCAAAAAGTGTGATTTCCCCAGCGACAGATGAAGGGGCCCTGGGCACACACACCTGTGAGTACTTCAGGACCTCCACACCGGCATTCTCCAGCTCTTCAGTGCAATTGGAACTGATTAGTGAATCAAAATTTCTCAGTACCTGTGTACAAATGCAGCCCACACAGTGGGCAGTAGAAAAGAAAGAACACCTGATGAAAGACACATTACAAACTCGGGAGGGAAATGTCAGTACTGTATTATCCTTCCTGTTATTTCCTCCTTCATTCACCGCTATAGTTGAGAGCAGTTTTAATAAATCATCTATTATCCTATGTCATCACCAAGGTCTCTAACAATTAACTTTTATCAATTCCTGTACCAGAGTCCAAAAGAAATAGACCACCAACTTTCAGGCCTCTATCATTTTCATCTTCCCCTCTTTTTTTTTCCCTCATTGAGTTTATTGGTACATTTTAGGTTTACAGTACAGTTACATTCATCATTGGGATCCTGTACTTTTACATGACAGGTCTTGGTTCTAATTTTTTCTCCTTGTCCCTGCCCTCCCTTCATCCCCTCCTCCCCTCCCCATTTACAAACACTTTATTTCCCTTTTTTCATTTTCTCAAATATTTTTGCCCTTATTAGCTTTCCCCTACCCTTCCCACTTTCCCTACACCTTTATCATCTTCCCCTCTTTAAAGCTTGCTTCTCTTTTATAAAGTCTAGGGAACAGAAATTTTCTTCCCCCTATTAATGTCTGGGGGCCTGCCTTCCTTCTGATATGACTTAAAGGAAGGTCCTCTAGCAAAATTCTCCACCCAGCTAGAAATCACAGCTTGACCTTGGAGATGTCCTGATAAGGCTCATGCAACATTCTGCAGTAGGAGGTCAGGAGTCAGAGTAGCTTTAGATGGAGTTATGCCAGGACGGGGCAGAGGGAGAATTAGCCTGGGCCTTAGGGATGGGAAAGGGCAGGAATCCAACTAATGTGGCTCTCTGCAAATGTGGGAATTGGCCACTGTACGGATAAGACTGTAGCACTTCACTACTTTAGTTAGTAAATCAGGCCAGCTATCCTTCTGCCTTTCCTCTTCCTTTCAATTTACTGGATATAGTTCAGTGATGCAAAATCATGTTCATGAAAAACATTATTCAAGGCATAAATATCTATAGTGCTAATTATACATGTTTAAAGCCTAAGAGAAAATTTTGGGAGTGCACGCTGACTAGCATTTTGAGGATCCCTCACCTACCTCCATTTGTTCAAAGTAAGAATTAGAATCAGCCATGTGCAATTCCCTGTAATTCCAGCTACTTAGGAAACTAAGGGGAGGAGGACTACAAGTTGGGAGTTCAGCCTGGGTAACTTCATGAGATCATCTCAAAGAATAAAATTTAGCCGGGGACTTAGCTAAGTGGTGTCACCACCTGCCTTGCTAGGACAAGGTCCCATGTTCGATCCCCTGGCACAAAAATAAATAAATTAATTAATTAATTAAAATAAAATAAAAAGGGCTGGGAGCACAGCTCAGTCACAGAGTATTTGCCTAAATGTACCAGGCCCTGAGTTCAATACCTAGTATCACAAAGACAAATAAAATTAGAATCATGGCATTTGAGCAATCAGGAATCTGACAAACCCTGTCCCTGGAGAACTAGACCCCAAAGGCTTAAGTGACTTGCTCAAGTCACGTGTTTGTCAGGGACAGTGCAGGGCGAGAGAGAGAGCAGGTCTCTACACCAACACCTTGTTACAGCCCGACACCTGCTCATCACAGCTCTGCCACGGTGTCGCTGTAAGAGCAGTGCTCAGTAGTCACGAACCAACCACAGGCAGACAGCAAGACTTGACCAAGCAAGGACAAGGCGCAGGTGAAATCTGAGCGGAAGGAGCAGAAATCTGGCTGGGGCTTTCTCAAACCTCAGGTAACTCCCAATTTTGCTACTTACTAATCAGAGCCATAAAACCTCTCTTGTCCTTAGTTTCATCATATTTAAAATGAAATTCAAATGGATGATCCACAAGATTCCCTTTCATATGAAGAAGTTAGCGAATTGTTTGGACTGAGTGCTAACAATCCAACACTACCTTTCATGTGAAATTCATCTGTATATTAACACCACAGGGTATTATATTTAAACAACACTTACACTGAAGTCTGCATATCTCCTTATTAGGATATCTGATAACTATCATTTCATGATGAAAAGACCAGCCAATAAAAAGGGGAAGAAAATAGCAGCTAGTTTGATCAACTCAGAATTTTCATTAACTAGCAGACTAGAAGGATGTAAAGTCTAATTTAAACAGATTACACGCAGTACATGTGGTGCAGACCAACGGACACAACCATCTTGTGTTTTGTACCCTAGTATTTAATGATGACATAAGAAAAAAATTCTTCCTCTTAAAAACCAAAACCCCCAAGAAGGACAGAGCTACCTTATCATGCCGTATCATTAGCATTGTCTTACAGCCCAGGGCAGAGAAGATCCCAGCTATCTCCACAGCAATGTAACCCGCACCCACGATGACACTGCGCCTAAAATGAGATCAGGGGTTAACGTTTTAAAATTAATTTACTTGGGAACAATGTTAGATTTACAGACACTTTGCCAAGAGAGCATGACATTTCCCTCATACCCGCTGCTCAGTTATCCTCAAGTTAACATTTTATATAATAGCGGTACGTTTGTCAAAACTAGAGGCTCACTGGTACATTACCACTGACTAAATCCTAGATTTCATATTTCATCAGTTTTCCATTAATCACCTCTTTTCTGTTCCAAGTGCCACATTACACATTTAAGCAGAAAACATTCCTTGGAAGAAGTGAACTATATTTTACTTGTTTTAAAAAGTCCCTGCCCCCCAACACACACACTTTTTTTTGGAGACAGGGTCTCACTATGTAGCCCAGGCTGGCCTTCAGCTCACAATGATCCTCCTGCATCAGCCTCCAGAGTGCTGGGATTACAGGTGTGCACCACCACACCTGCCCCTGCACCACTCCTTTAAAGAGAACACAAAAACCTTTGAAACTAGAGATGACTCCTTACATAATGATCCTCACACCTAAAATTAACATCAAGGCCAGGATTCTTAGTATCATTATTGTCCTGTGTAACGTATTTCTCCTTGACTGTCATTTAGTTCTATCCATCCTTGCATACAACTAAACTGAACATCCGGATACACTGTGGTTTAAGAAAAGAGTCTCAAGCTTTAGTGAAATGCTTAAAGGTCTGACTCAGTGGAGAAGCAGCTGCAGCCTGGAGAAGAGGGGTCCTACGGAGGCAGCAGCATCACCCCGCACGTGGCTGTGTCCTCTCAAGCTTGCTCTCCCACGCTCCCAGGGCACAGGTAATCAATGTTCAGGGGAGCTGGGCATCATGGCAAACAGCTGTAATTCCACTCGGAGGGGAAGAAGCAGGAGCGGCACAAGGTTAAACTCAGCCAGCGCAACTGAGTCACCTGGCAAGACTCGACTCTACCTCAAAATAAAAAATACAAGGGACAACAATCGGTGCGAAGGTCTTGGGTTTAATTCTTAGCCCTGGAGTGGGGTGGGAAGCTCAGAAGAATGAAGAAACCTCCTTCTAATATCTTCCACAGGCAAAATACCCACGCCCTAAATCCTGCCTTCAGGGGTTTATAGTCTGGATTAGAATGCAGCAAAGCTAAATGGCTGCAGGTTATAAACTGACTCTCTCGTCCTACAGTCTAGAGTACAAAAAATTTCTACACAGTTGAAAACCTATGAGAACAGCTCTTCCAATTCTACTGCCCTCTTTCCTGTGATGTGCTGACCCCTTCCCTTTCGGTAGGTCTTCCCATCTGCTTGCTCCTTTCTTGTCACCTTCTTTCCTCCCAAGACATGTATTAGTTAAATCCTACATTGTGCTGAGCAATGTAGCCAACAAGGTAGTAGCAGTCCCCGCCCGAGGAACTTCTAAGGGGAGGTACCCGCCCTGGAGTTGGTCAGGAGGAGGAGATCCACCATCGGTCCTTGCAGAGTGCACAGCTCAGAAAATGCTCTGGACTCCTGAAATTTGAGAAGTTCTTGCAGGCCGGGTAAAGTAGTCCAAACAGATGGGATACACAGCAAACAAGGAACACAGCTTTTTCAGAGCACTGCAAAGAGCTCAGCGCTCTCGCTCAGCTCCCAGGGGCACCCACTTGTCACTGAAGGATGCCCTGGAGATGATCTCCCATGTGGCCAAATTGCCAAAGCTTGGACATCACCTCTGCCCTCGGCCTAACATGGGACTCAGGCTCCCTATGCCATCCTCCAAGGGCAAAACCAGCACTGGACAGCACACAGCATGTGGTGCCTTGCCTACAGAACTGACTCGTTCCCTGATTATGTACTTATTAACTACACTCAAAAAATCCCTATTAGGAAGTGTACTTTTGTTTTGTTTTTTGAGACAGGGTCTCACTATGTAGTTGAGACTGACCTGGAACTATGTACCTAGGCTGGTCTTGAAGTCACAGCATCCTCCTGCCTCAGCCTCCTGAGTGCTGGGATTATAGGTGTGTGCCACCATGTCTGTCTTGTTTCGATTTCTTGAGACAGGGTCTTAACCTGGCTCAAGCAATCATCCTGCCTCAGTGTCTGGAGCAACTGGGACTTGCAGATGTGTGACACATCTGGCTCAATCGTTAATTCCTTTTCCTGTGTTCCCACAGCCCTCTCTTTATAACATGAATAAACTCATTCATTAAACTTGCATTCATTTCAATGAAAGTTTAGTAAATGGCTTAAGAATACCAGTAGAGGGCTGGGGATTTAGCTCAGTGGTTCTGGTGCCTGCCTCACAAGCACAAGGGCCCGAGTTTGATCCCCAGTACCAAAAAAAAAAGAATACCAGTAGACCAGTGTGGTGTATCAGGCAACTTGTCTGAAGGTGAGTTCAGTTAAACTGTATCATCAACCATGATGAGTCAGGGCCACATTCCTGGACGCAGCTCAGGAGCGTCACGTCAACCAGCACTATACGTCCCTGAATTATGAAGGAGTTTCCTTCCGGGAGAATGTTCCCAAGTCCGACCAAAGCAGCTCTGCACTTCCTGGCAGTCCCCTCCACATCACCACTGCTTTTCCTCTTGCTTCTGGACATCCCAGGTGCTGACTGAGCACTGTACCGTGGGACACGGTCACATTCACTGTACAGTGAGCGCACAACAGCACAGCTGTGACCTTGTGCAGCAGACACGTGAGCTACTTCCGGTTCTGTTTGCACAATTCGAGGTCCACTGGCATCTGTGAAAGTTCACAACTCCAATGTTCATAAATTGGGGTCTTGCTGTGTAACATCCTGTTGTACAAGATGGACAAACATGACAGAAGGCTGTTCTGACACACTTGCGTGTTCTGACAGAAAATATGGAAAAACTCCGTTTCTCTCAAATCTTAAGTCAAGCCAGGTGTGCATGCAGTTAATCCCAGCACCGAGGGAAGCTGAGACAGGACGATTACAGGTTGGAGTCCCATAAGGGCAACTTGGCAAAATGCTGCCTCCAAATAAAAAATAGAAAGGACTGGGGATATAGCTCAGTGGTAGAGTGTCTCTGTGTTCAAGTCCGAGTACCAAAAACCCAAAGAACTTCAAAGTCAGTAGTCTGCTTGGCCTGAACATCTTCATGAGGCATTTTCACTGGAGCAATGGAGCTGCAACCCTTCATTAACTGGCTAGCATGAGGTCAACTCGGGTAAGAGCATCATTACTCAGTCATAATCCCCGAAAGCCTTTGTAAGAGCAGGGTTCAGGAACTCAAAATGATTGGCAACAGCCGCTGAAGGTGCAGCAGACTGAGCAATACTAACTCCAAAGAGGTGACTTCGGTTGAGGGTGGGCTCAGGTCCACAGGGTCCCTGCTCCTGTCTATCTCTTACCCTGAATGAAGGAGGGGCCCTCTAACCCCAAATGCCTGCAATGTGCAGCACCTTCCCAGGAGAGAACTCTTCCTCTGTACTGTTTTCCCTCTAGGAATCTAAATTCATATAAGAAAGATGCTACAGTAATTCTGACACAGATAAATAACCTCAGCCAAGCATGGTGGCACACACCTGTAGTCCCAGCTACTTGGGAGGCTGAGGCAGTAGCCTGAGACCACCCTGGGCAACTGCTATATCTTGCAACTAGAGAGCCCCCGCAAAGTCTCATGTGCTCATTGGTGGGGCTTTTTGGAGGGGGCTGGATCTAAGCCATGTGATGCTGGGATTGAGGATGTGATACTAAGATTAAGATTGTTCTAATCTGGGTGTGAGCGCTACCCTCCCTCAGGACAGGCAGCCTGGATAGACTATAAGGAACAGAAAAGCAGCAACTGCTGTGGCTTGCTGCTTGCAACTTCACTGCTGCCTGCCCTATGCCTGCCCTGCTTTGCCATTGACTGTTTCTTCACTGAGATGGCCCTCTACCATGTCACCCTCCTTTGGAGCCAGCTGACTACAGATTCTAATCTTTACAAACTGTAAGCCAAAGTAAACCTTCTTTAACTTTGGGTGTGGGGTATGTTGTCTCAGCACTGAGAAAAGTAACAAAGAGAGCAACATAGCAAGACCCCCATCTCAACGTCAAGAAAAGAACAAGCTCAGAAAATGTTTTTGTGAGAGCAACAACAGAGCCTTCGTCATGGAGACCCCTCTGCATCAGCTTTTCAGAAAAATCCAGAATCAGTTAGTCTAGGCATGTTTATTAGATGCCATATCAGCTAAAGAAAGATGAGAGTTTATTATCAGGTCTTCAACATTACCCTGATTTGATGTGAGTTATAAACTTTTTGCAACAGTCTTTTTCCAAAAGCCTGAAAGATCTGAGGGATCTACTAACAGGTACTAGTGGATGAGATACCCAAGGTCAGAGAAAGAGAAGAGATACGAGAACTGAATTCAGGTAATGCCTATAAATGGCTGGCAGGGGGAAAAGCAAGAAACATTTCCAGGGCCAGGGATTTAGCTCAGTGGTGCTGCACCCTGCCTCGAAAGTGCAAGGACCTGAGTTTGATCCCTGGTACAAAAAAAAAAAAAAAAAAAAAAAAAAAAAAAAA